CTCCCTGGAAGGGCGGCGCAGCTTCCGCCACGGCAGACAAGCGCTTCTCTCCCCGCGCCCCCAAAATGCCCTTTCCTCACCCGCTTCTGTTCCGGGAAAGGCTGCATGCCTGCCCCGAATTCGTTGCCTTTCCCGTGGCGACACGCGAGGCCGTCGGGGCTCCGTCGCCATCTTCAACGATTGAACCGGTGTTTGTCCGGGATGCTCTCAGGATTCTTGCACTGAGCAGGGGCTGGACCAGATGGCCTCCGAAACCCCATGGTGAAAATGCAGCATACAGACCATCCCCGGAGGTCATCTAGTCCTGCACTGCTCAGTGTGAAGAGCTCCGGAGAAGGGACCTCAAGAGGCAGCTCACTCAGCTGGTTGGTAGCACCTCCAGGAGTAAGACCCTCCTGGGGTCCAGCCTGAGTCCGCTTCCCTGGCCTTACATCTCTGAAGGGGCTCTGTGCCTCTCCCAGCCTTCTCTTTGGCACGCTCAACTTACCCACTTCCTTCATTCCTTCACCGTTGCCAGATTTGGTTTCCAGAGCCTTCACCGCATTGATAGCCGTCCTCTGAACACACTCCAGTTTGTCAACGTCCCGCTTAGGCTGGAGGGCCAGAATTGGACACAGAAGTCCAAGTGGGGCCTGAGCAAGTCGGACTGGGGTGGGACAACTGCTCCAGTGCTCTGGACTCTGGGTGCCTGCTAGCGCATCCGCTAATTGCATCCCACCAAAGGCCCCTTCTCATCCATCGTCTGAGGACGTTGTCAAGGGGACACACCCAGCTAACAGACCCATATTTTCCTGGCTCCTCTTTTCGAAAGGGGGGGCAACCTTCGCTCTTCTCCAGCCTTTGGGACCTCGCCAGACCTCCGGGAGTCCTCCACAATTACAGTTAGCAGTTCTACAACCCCTTCCATTGGTTTCTTTGGTGCCCTGGCATTTGTTCATCTGGACACGGAGACCTGCATTCATTTAAATTAGCTCTCTTTCATTTACCCCCTCCTGGTCTACCCTGAGCTGCATCTCTCTCCTTTGACCAGTGGCACAACCATGGTGTTTTCCCTAGTGAGGGAAAAGTCAGGGTTAAGACTCTGTTTCCTCGCGATCGATCACTTGTTACCAGTGTTCCCCTCGCTCCTCACAACAGCCCTGCTGCCTCTTTCCTTGTAGCTCCAAAGCCTTTTTTGTCACCTGGACATTTCTTGCAGCCTCCACACGTCAGCCCTTCTGGCATAATCCTTGCATTGCGTATTTGCCCCTCTTTCACATCCCTTTTTCTTTTCAGCAGGCCACAGCACATAAACAGAGAGCAAACCCCATTCCATTTTAGCACTGGAGATGTTACCTGGCCGGGTAATGAAACATTTGCAAGAAAAGAACCAAGCTCAGAGAACCCCACGGGCTCCACAGTTCAACCCTGAGCTGCACATATTCGCCTCTATTGGTCTTTTCAGCCTGTCCAGCAGCTCTATGTAAGGACAGAAACGAACAGCAACCATTCCACCTGCCAGAAACAGGGAAACATCCACCAGCGGATCAGAATGGAAACAGCTACATTTCTGTTTGTGGCTGGCGGAGTCCCTTGGAAGAAACAGCTCACGTTAGAGAACTGAGGCCTGCTCCTGCTCCACTCAGCACCATCTTTCTACAGTAACTCAGGAGTTTAAAGGCCTTGCTCGGAGTAGGGGGCCAGAGCAGGCTACTCAGCTCCAGCTCTCAGCAGGGAAAGAGGCTGATCAGCAACTTTTCCCTCCCCATATGCAAATAGGCTTCAAGTTGCCACAGAGAGGATCTGCTCTTGAAACCAAGTGATCCAGAAAATAAACACATTTCCTGGCAACCGGGTAGACTGCAATTGATTTGCTGGGCTTGATGGACAAGCAAACCGTATCTATTCTTGCCTTGTTTTGAACCACCTGCTCAGATTGGCCCCTCTGGTAACTTTGCAATGTTCTCTTTAAATAACTTCTCAACAGTCAAAGGAGTTGGGGTCCCTTTCCCTCTGTTTTCCTCGGAGGGCTAATTAAGCCCTAGCAGAGAGAGGAGAAAGCTACTCTCAGGGTTCTTAAGGCAATAACCAATAGCCTAAGGCAATTTTGTTCTAGAGAAAGGAAGCTTTGCAGTGTTTGTTTTATTTAAATATGTTAAATTTTAAATGGCCTTGGGTGCCTGGGGGAGAAACGTGATGTATAAATGCAATGCCTAAATAAATATATCTCTACTGGAAAATAAAGGTTCCTTACTGCAGTAGCCTGTGGAACGCCTTAGCATCCTCTGAAATTAAGTCATAAGAACGAAAAGGACAGGTCCTAAACGGTCTAGTGTTGTCAGCATTTGGAAGTGCCAGGCTGCAGAATGGGGGAAGGGGAAGGAAGCAAATAAGCAGGTAGAATTCTGCTGCTTGCACTGCTGCTTTCTCAATCCAGTTTCCCAATTTTAGACTCTGAATGGGGACCCTTTTAGAGGGTGGTCTGTTCCCTGCCACTCTACCCGTTCCATATAGAAATAGGGCTACCAGTTTTAGGCTGCAGAAATCCAGAAGACCACTAGGTGGGAAGGAAGTGATAAAGGAAACCCCAACCCTTTGCTACCATCTAGTTGTCCTCCAGAGTTTTGCAGCCCAGAGCTTATGGGATATGGCAGCGTGTCTCAACCTTGGCAAATTTAAAACGGGCAGACTTCAACTCCCAGAATTCCCCAGCCAGCCATGAAGTCCACCCATCTTAAACTTGCCAAGACTGAGAAACATTGGGCTTTGGAGTGCAGCCAGACCCCGTGTGAATCAGCTCAGAAGTAAATCCCCTCATGCTCTGAGGAGCCTGTCCAAAGTGTGTGCAAATGATTACAAGCCAAAACTCCCTTTTCTTCCCTGATAAAAGTGGGAAAGATGCCCAACACCTGAGCCCATTCCCCGGGCTCTATGCTTCATGAGACCCACTCTGGTGTAGTGGTTACAGCCCCAGGCTGGAAACCGGGAGGCCGAGAGTTCCAGTCCTGCCTTGGGCACAACGCCAGCAGGGGGATCTTGGGCCAGTCACTCTCTCTCAGCCCGAGGAAGCAGGCAATGGCAAACCGCTTCCGAAAACTTGCCAAGAAAACTGCAGGGACTGGTCCGGGCAGTCGCCGGGAGTCAGTGCTGACTGGAAGGCGCACATACAGACCATGCTTTATAACGACTTGAAAAAAACATCCAAGGGAGAAACTGCTCATCCCCTCCCAAACCCCCCCAATCTGCGCTTGTTTGCTTAGAACCCAGTTCACGCCCCCCCCCACGCCCATCTCCTTGGCCGGGGGGGGGGCGCGACTCCCGAGCGCAACGGGG